TGTGATGTAGAGAAATGCCCTCCTCCAGGTAATCAACACCACTAATAGTAGTATAAGATGGAAGTACTGTGATGTAGAGAAATACCCTCCTCCAGGTAAACAMCACCACTAATAGTAGTATAAGATAGGAGTACTGTGATGTAGAGAAATGTCCTCCTCCAGCAGGTTATCAATATGGCACTAATCTTATACGTTACTGCACCATTCTTGTTTTGTATTTTTTACCGCTGTACTCGAAGTTGAGCCCGTCAGTTAAACCGCTGCTTGACCGTCGGTGACTGTCGGTGACTGGGCTACAGTTTTTGCAGAGCGAGAACTGACGGGCTCAAGCTCGAGCTTATCTTGTACAGTGGTAAATAATATTAAACAGGAAGAAGATGACGGAGCATGAAAGATAAGTGCTACAAAAGACAAGCGGTCCTCGTCTGTTCTCTATGGGGTAGTCAAGACTTTTAGCAGTGGCGAATCTTAGGGAAGTTTAGGGTATTATGGCCCCTACCTTTTATCAAGGCCGTAGATTGGAAGCAATCTTGTTTCAAAATGTACACCTTTTGAACACATTTTCAAGGTGTAGACCCTGGCGGTCAAAGGACGTAAGATGCATTAAATGGTTTTTGGTTTGTGTATTTCAGTTCCAACTAAAGCTCCTATGATCCTAGAAGCTTATTCTTCAGATCCATACACAATATTTATATCATGGAACAAAGTTCCTTTCTCATTTATGCACGGTGAGCCGCGCGGATTTCGTATCATCGTTGGTCAACTTAATCAAGAGGTAATAATGATCAATACAACGGGTCCAAACACTACAGCTTTTGAATTCAACAATCTCGAGGCCTGGACAAACTATAGTATATCAATACTGGCTTTCAATGATGCTGGGGATGGACCTTACAGTCGTGTTTATGTGAAGACGATGCCTGAAAGTAAGTCGCAGAAGGGTACCCTGTGTTTCTTGACCATCTGCATGCATGGGTCCGGTTGTACAAAGAGTGAATAGTGCGCGCTATCCAATGGGCCTTATTCACGCGGCAGCCATGTTGGATTGAACACAAGATTCCACCACGCGTAGCCTCAAATTAAAGCGTTGAGAATTAACTTATGCTGGGGAAACAAAGATTTTACTTTCATGAGAATAAACATGGCTGCCGTGTGATATAGGCCCATAGAGAAATCCTTATCCTGTGGATAAGTCAATGGCTATCTACTGGATAACCATGATTTATTTATCGGATAGCGCTATTCACCTTTTGTACAACCAGGCACTGCTGTTTTCGAATTGTACAAGTAACCAATAGAAAATGTATCCAACATATTTACGATAATCAATCCTTTGTGCCATTATCGAACTCAAATATTTTGAAGTCCTTATTTGTATGGAAGCATTGTTAGGGGTCAGTAAATCATGCAGGCAAAAAGGGAGGGCATTAATTGTATTTACGGTTCAGTCTAAAGTTCTGCCGCCCAAGAGGACTGAAAAAACAATAAATGGGCAGGTTCGCAATATTTTTTGTTAGAGCTGACAGGAAGGGTTGTTGGTTTCTCTATGGTAGTCCATGTAGATTTCTTTAGCCTCTTACCCCCCGCTCCCCCTCCTCATCCACATTAAGATAATATTAATTATTTTTTATTTTTATAAAAATCCATTTTTTCCTCTATATAGAAATCGTCGCAGTTAGATATGCATTGACCGTGAAACGAAATTTAACCAAGTATGTTCGGCTAAGAGACAATGTGACGACATTTGAGGAGGCTGCATTCAAGAAGATGGTAATAGCACAAGCACACTCTCCAGGAATCGAAATCCTTAAAGATTATATAATATAATTTGTTTTAAGAAAGTCTAATTTATTTAAATTATAATCATGACTCCTGCTTTTAACGTTGCTCAGATTTGGAAATTATTCCGTGATGATAAGCCAAGTGGGTACCACATCTACCAAATAAGATTCTTAAATTTCACGTAAGTATATATATATAGCAGTTATAATGAACATGGGATCGTCTTTGCTGTTCAAGCTAGTTAGGCTAGCTAGCACTTACTAGCGATGGCTACCAAATCTCTGTCCCATATGCCATGAGGAGAGGGGATACCAGAGAACGTGGAGAAAACCCTTCGAAATTCGTGAAAGAACAAACATTAAACCCACAATGGCTAAAACGTAAATTAAAACTTCTCCAAGTGTTAATAGCAATTTCTCGCGTTAAATGCGCTACAAATTGCTGGTTATATTAATATATATTGCACATGGGGCTCCTGCCTTTTGTACCAATTGTCTTACTAGATTTCCAAAACTAATAAAACGCTGTACTCCTTTAAGTATATTCTTCTAAATCTGGCATAATTTCATTTGTTATAAAGTAACAGCAGTTATGAATTGGAGTTTGACATCACAGCTGGATTAAGTGAACGGCCATCTTGGTCTGCTGCACAAGACATAACAGGACGTATTTTAAGAAGTTTTGCTATAGCTCAAGCATTTGAAGTGCATTCTCTTCTTGTTAAAGGTCAGTACTACTTGCTCTACAGAGGTTATGCACGACCACGCGCCGGCGGTCATGTTAGGTGAAGAGCAATATAATCCATGTTTACTATGCGCTATAACATAACAATAATAATCACAGAATAACTAAAGATAACTAAAAATCAAAATAGTTTTTAAACAGTTGAGTCTTAAGTTGAGACTTGAATAGACTTCCTCTGCTTGAACGTAATGTTGTCCCATTTCAGACCATGTGTCATTCCCTTGAGAATGAGATCCTTTATCTGTCTGTCTGTTTGTCTGTTTTTGGTTATAGTTTC